GCCCGAGACAGAAAGGTCCATAAAAGTCCACAAAAAACGTGATTTTGTTAAACTGCTTGAAAACATTATTTTTCAGCTCTAACCTGCTTTATATCCTGTTGAAGCTTCCAATATGCAAAATATAAAGTTTTAAAATATCTAGTTTGCTGTGTTGCTCTTTTGTTTATTTATTATAATCCTTAATCACAATAATTACAGGTACATACAGGTATTGCAGTTGAGTGTCTTGACTCACATGACCCACCACACAGACCAAAATGGTTTAGATTAGAAAATGTTAAATTATTTTCAGGTTAAAGTCCTTTTAATTTTTTTTTTCATTAACAGGTAATATTTTACATTTTATTATTGAATTCCTACAGTAATTGCATTTAAAATTCAGATAATAAAAAGTACCTTATTTGCCTAGTAACTAGTAACACTGATTGTGTAGTAACTAGCTTACCCAAACATTTTATGTTTTAGGTGAGGAAATTAATAACCATGATGTTTCAAGTAAATTTCCCAACACAGGAGTTTCTGTTTAGTTCAGTAGAGGCCTGATCATTACTCAGCCACATATACCACAATGCTGGGTTTGTTTGAATGTCTAATCCTTGGGATTAACTAGTTGCTGTCTAAGAGTGTTGTTTAAAGCACACCCCAAAGCAGAGGAGGGGACCTCAGAGTTCTTTTTCTTACATTTACTCTGCAGCCCTGACTCATCTCTTCAGGTATTTTCTCAGCATTACACCTTTGAACTATGACCAAAACTATGTTTTTGGATTGTCAAGCAACAACAACCCAAACACTGAGCTGAATAGAGGGTGACTCGTGTGTGTTGATTAAAAGTTCTTTTTTTTCAAAGAAAGAAGGGTAGCAGCCAAGTTACAGAAAATTAGCTTACAACATGAAGCCTATTTGGTGATTATGTCACTCTCTTGATCCACAAAGCCAACTTGGTCTTATATAAGTATAATCAGTATAAAAAAATTGGAGCTATGTGAGCACCCCCCCCCCCCCCCCTCGCAAAAAAAAAAAAAAAAAATCTAGAAATTCATGTTAAAAGATGTTCTGCAACATATTCACCTTAGGATGTGCACCCTCATTACGCAACCAGGTTACTTTCCGTAAAATTTTCCACAAACACTCTATTTTCAGGTGTCTGATGAGTTGTACAGGTGCTATTTTAATACATTGTTTAAATAATAACGTTTCATAGAACTCAAGAAAACTGTTTAAATAGACCTAAAAACCAAAAAAATGTGTCACTTTTTAATTGGAAAATTAAAATGATGTATTTTTATCTAAATTCTTTGTTTACGATTCAAATATACAGTTTTTAAAAGGGGAAGTGAACTCTGAGTTTTACCAAGAGCACAAAAAGCATTATTTCACTTTCTTTGAAATGGCAAATTGTCAAGTATTTCTGGCAAATACTTTATCTCCAATATCTGGTACTGTGATAACATTATGTTTATTTACTTTCCAACATTTTCTTTGTTTCAGAAGGCTTCAGAACAACAATGTTTTTATTTGGTTTATTAATATATAAAGGCAACTTGTATTACTTGTTGTATTTATCTATTTATTTATCTATCAATGCATTCAAGTCAAATGATTTGATTTTTATTTATTTATTTTTTTTTTTACAAACATAGCAGAAGAGAAATATATTATTGTATTCATGTTGTTGCCATTTGACTGATATCCTTCAGATACAGACATAGCTCAATGCTACCACCTAGTGGTCAGACATTTAAGCTTTTTGAGGGGATGTAGTTGTAATGTGCATGTGATTCATATGCAGACCAGGAATTTGGATATAAGCATATCCTGAATAACTTGACCGTCTATCCAGATCTATGGAAAGTTTTTTTTTTCGTTTTTTTTTTTATGTGGCTACCCTGGGTCTGCTAACATTTAATTTTAGATCCCTTACCAACTGCCTATACAATGGGGAAAAAACACTATGAAGTCGTCCAATGATTGTTTAAGTTCTCAACGATGAGAAAGTTCTGTAACTTTCATTATTAGGTACACTTCAACTATGAGGGACAAAGTAAATAATAAAAAAAATCCAGGATGTTAAAAAAAAACGTGTTTGTAAGTTGTGTTTGAAAATACATAAAAAAAAAAAACTTTGTTCCTCACAGAACTGTCCCTTCTTTATTTAATTAAGATTTCTGTCCTCGATTTTTACCTACACTAATGGAACTTGTTTGAGCTCATTATCTGTGTAAATAGCATTGTCTGCAGCCTCAAACAGACGGACTCAACCATGACCAACATCACACATCTGTTGGCGGAAACAGGGATGAGTAGCGTGAATCTACATAGGTAATAAACTGTGGGAGCTACCTTGATGTGGGGAGCTCCATCTCATGTGCAGAGAGCTGGGACCAAAGTAACAAAGGCTACCATCAGTAACACACTATCCTGAGAGGGCTGTGTCCCCCTGCTTAATGTGCAAAGGTTTGGGTATCACGTGATCAGATGAAACCTAAATTGAGCCTTTTGGCTCCAACTCAACTGGTCGTGTTTGGAGGAAGCAGAATGCTGAGTTGCATCCCAAGAACACCATACCCACTGTGAGGCATTGGGGTAGAAACATCAAGCTTTGGGGATCCTGTTTTCTAGACAACCTTGACATGGGTTTGCAAAATGCTTAATTTGGTGTGCCTGACATACTTTTTTTTTTTTAAACAGTGTCCTGTCTGGCGATGTGACAATAAGAATAATTGTCTTGATGCCAAAAAGAGCCCAACAGATTTACCTTTCACAAGTGGAGCAGTACGGCTATTGCACTAGTGTTCCGCTTGTTTCATGCATATAAATTGCTTTATCATAATTATGCAGGGAGTTTTACAGCTTATATGGACACTGCAATGTAGGTAGAACAGGAAAGGAAAAACTGAAAAAAGGAGAAAAGATGAAAGAAAGTGGAGATAAAAGGGAGACAATGATAAAACATTTTCAGACTGCTTCATCACCTGCAAAGAGATGTAAAAAGAACAGCACAACAAACAGACATGGTACGAGACATACAATAGCGTAACACCTAGATACTAACGCTGAAGTAGTATAATTTAATCTTGTATGTGCTCTGTGTTACCTGAAGATAAGAATATGGGCTTTCTGTGTGGAAGTGCCTGACATACTTCGGACAGAAAATAAGAAAAGATTTTAGTTCTCACTCTCTAAAAAAAATAAATAAATAAAAAATACTTTCACTAAAGACCAAAAAGGTCTGGAGGGTTTGAAGCATCAGATTTGTCTCTACCATGCTTCAATATTAGAGGTCTGTCAATAGGATATGGCCTCTGTGCATCCTGTCTTAGTCCACACACTGCACCAGCAGGTTGAAAGGCTCCTCTATAATTGGTTAATAGTGCCCTCTGGTGTGATAAAACAAACATAACATGTTTCGTCTCTATAGGTTTACTAATTCTAAAAATTAAGCTATATCATGTTAATGCAGGTAAAAAAAATCTGTATTGCTAAACAAGTCTAATTATTGGTTTTATTGTTCCCATTTTAATGTGGTGGCTATTACTTCCTCTAACAATTCATATATTTGTCACATCAAAGAAGATATTAGGAGAGAATTGAAATATCCACATTAGTAACTATTATTAGTTAAGTGGAGTTCTGTTAGACTCTTCCAAGAAATATTCCGGGAATGTTTCCCAGGTTGAGGGCGAAACACTTCATGGAAACATGATTTTTTTCTCTCTTTTTTCCTGAGTCTTTGCTGGTTGGGGGGAGGGTACTCAAGCACAATGTTTTCTTTTCCTCGACTTCAAACTCACACAGATTAACTTACAGTCCAGTTCTATTAGACCACTCCCACATTTCTTATGTAACAAAGTCATCAGGACTTAAATTCTGCTAAACACAGCCACTGGGCTTTTTTTGTCCAGAGAGAGGAAAACATTTCCAATGTTTCCAACTTTGTGTCAAGGCTACAAGGTAGGTCTTTGGACATTTTCTGCAGTGTTAATAGAAAACTTAAAGAAACTTGACTTATGGCTGAGTTTACTCTTTAACCAAGCATCAGCATAGCTAAAAAGAACCAGATAACCAATTAAGGCACAATTGTTCAAAGTTGTTTAAGTACATGTACTTTTACATAAAAGGATGCATGTTGAAATTAGATACTGAACTAACACAAAGCATTAGTGAGTTCATGTGGTCCACTATTGCACCACTGGACTTTGATTCATTGTGCAACTATTTTGTGCTTCCTTTGAATAAGTGTTCTGCAAAGCCTTTAAGCCATGCCATTGTGGGAGAAAATCCTGATCTTGAAATTCACCTAAGATGTGATGCTTTAAAACTCAGAACTGCATTTTCTGGGTACCAGTGTGTGTAAAGGGTTTCAAAAGCTGTTGCTGAGCCTTGTATGTCCGTTTAAAAGCTAAGGAAAAAAAAACATGTTTTTCTTTACCACTGAAAATATCTGCCATGCATAGAAAAAAGGAAACTTTAATGTTTTCCAGATGTTTGTGCGGTTTTTTTACGTTCTGAGGCATATGTTTTTTTTTTTATAATACAAAACACTGTTTTTTTCTGAAAAAACTTTGAGAGAGAGTATTCATACCCCTTTGATTGTTCCACATTTTGCTAAAGCCTCAAACTCTAATATATTTAATTGCCATTGTGATCTTAAAAGTGTGGCTTTCACTTGAATTCCCCCAACCCTCATGTCATTAATTTGATAGCTCAGGTTCCTTCCTGAAGACTTTTAGAATATTCTTCTACCAGTTTTCCCTAGACTTAGTTGCCATTTTTATTAATTCTATTAGCTCAGAAGAAAACAATTTGTTGACTTCTCTGTAACTACTTTGTCCATTTTTCAGATGACAGTGGCACCCTGGCTCTAAGAGCAACACAGTCATGGCGAATGGGCAAACACCACTGATGATAGTTTTGTAAATGAGAGGTCATACTGTATTAGGCGGACAATTTATTTCCACCGTTTACATCAGAGACTGAGGAAATAGGGCGAAGAAACTATTTTCTATCTTTTAATAGGGTTTAGTAGTCTTGATTGACTGACCTGTCGCACCTTGACGATTTAGGTAGCGTATGCCTGATGTCCCAGAATCTTCTAAAACTTTGGAATACACAGATTTTTCTATGTATTTTTAAAATTTTGGGTGTATACATAGAGTATTCATAAAAAGAACATATGTCCAATGGCAGCCTAACATATGTATAACGCACAGGCGCTTGGCCTACATAAAAGATTCCTTTGAGTGCAGTATTAATATAGCTGCTCTTTGTCACTTAGTAAAAAAAGAGGAAATAAAAAGAAAAAAGAAGAAGGAAGAACATGGATTTGCAGTCGCAGCAGTTTCATCATCTTGTCAGCTAGGAGGTTTGTTGTTCAAGGCTATGGGCATGAACGCAAGCAAGGATCCATCACCTGCACCTTCAAGCTCACGCTATGATGGGGATGAAGTCTATAATTGAAGGTTTCCTCCTGTGAACCCCCTTTTATACCAAAACTCTGCCAATTCGACATTAAACAGTAGCTGTAAGCTAAAAACATGTTCAGAACACCATACAAATACGTCGATATGAGTTGGAGATACTGTAAGATCTTGATACGTTACGCATAGGTTATGCATACATACTCATAGGTTTTAGATAAGCTAGACGCCACGACTTATGAATAACTTACACTTAATGTATGTCAATGATCAGATAACTTACCTATGGCCCACGTATGAGCATATGCTGGCAAGCGAACTTGCCATATGTCGACATGAGCCAACGTGCTTTAGCATGCTCATAACTTATACAAAATGTACCCATAACTTATCCAATGTATGCCAGCATTTTTGTCATATTTTTCATACGTCAGGCATACGCTGCCTTAATCATCACGGTGTGACAGGAGCTTAACACAGAGGCTACAGATCCAGTCGGAACCTTAATAACTTATGCGTTTAACTGGGTTTAAAATATAGGTCAGAGTTAAGCGTGTTAACAAAAAATGCAATAATTATCTTCAAATGGTCAGGTACTGGACTAAAGGGAATAAAAAAGTAGACCAGGACTACTATCATACAAGATTACTTCCAAAGGCTAGGAGAGAAGACAAGAACTAAATAAATGACTTAATAGATATGGCAGTTTTTTTTGTGTTGACCTTTATGTATACACTTTATATTCAGACACTGGGGTAAAATGACCTAAACAGTAGTTGCTATCGATATCTTTGTAAAAGAAAAACTACCAACTATGCTGTTTAATAGATATTTGCCACAGTAGCATGTAGGCTGTGCTTTTACAGTTGCTATAGGTTTACTTATAAGTTTCTTTTTGTGAACATTTTGCTCTCAGGGCATTCTGATGGGGAGTCTTCCAGGCGCGTCTCTCCTTCTTCTGGTGTTTACTGTGCCTCTCCTGATTGGTCCCAGTGTCCAGGCCGGGAAAATTATGGTGTTTCCAGTGGATGGCAGCCACTGGGTGAACATGAACCTGCTGATCCAGAACCTTCATGATAAGGGCCACGAGGTGACTGTGGTCCGAACTGCCACCAGCTGGTACATCAAAGAGTCAGCACCACATTACCGCTCCATCACTGTAACACTACCACAAGCCATAGCCATTGAGAAGGAGGACTTCTTTGTGAAGTTCCTAATCAAGATGCTGGAAATTAAGAGGGAAGGATCTTTGACAGGCTTTGTCAAGTTTTACTGGGAGATGCTGAATGCATTGTCAGACATTCACAAACAGGCCAGCTTATTAGGAGTGGAAATGTTAGAGAACAAGACTCTTATGCAGAGTATTCGGGACAATCAGTTCGACGTTGTTCTGATTGACCCAGGTTTGCCTGTAGGAGTTCTGGTGGCTCATGAACTGAAGCTGCCAACAGTTTATAATGTGAGATGGATCACCAGTGGAGAGGGACATTTTGTTGTGGCTCCGTCTCCAACCTCATATGTTCCAACTTCTGCACACCCTGTGACCGACAAGATGAATTTCATCCAAAGATTCAAAAATGCGCTGTTCTATATCCTAAACACATGCATTGACAAACTCGTTGTTTGCCCTCACTACGATAGACTGGTGCACAAGTACTTTGGTCCAGATGTAAAGTTCTATCACCTTCTTCAGAGCGCAGACATCTGGCTAATGAGAGTAGACTTTGTCTTTGAATTTCCCAGGCCGACCATGCCAAACATTGCCTACATTGGTGGATTTCAGTGCAAGCCCTCTGAACCTCTATCCAACGAGCTGGAGCAGTTTGTTCAAAGTTCAGGCGAGCACGGTGTCCTCCTAATGTCTCTGGGTACACTGGTTCAAGGTTTGCCATCAGAAATCACATCAGAAATAGCTGCAGCTTTTGCTCAGCTTCCACAGAAAGTCATATGGAGGCATGTGGGCGAACGACCCAGCAATTTGGGCAATAATACCCTGCTAGTGAAGTGGATGCCGCAGAACGACTTGCTGGGTCATCCAAAGATCAAAGCCTTCGTGGCCCATGGTGGCACTAACGGTATTTATGAGTCCATCTACCATGGTGTCCCCATCATCGGTATCCCCCTTCTTTTTGACCAGTTTGAAAACGTCCTGAGACTGGAAGCACGAGGAGCAGCGAGGGTGGTTGATGCAGCTAAGCTCACCCGACAGAATTTCCTGGAAGCAGTGCAGGATGTTCTTAACAATCCCTCCTACAGAAAGAACATGAAACGCCTGTCAGCTCTCCATCGGGATAAGCCAATGCATCCTTTGGACACTGCAGTGTACTGGATCGAGTTTGTCATGAGGCACAAAGGAGCCGCACATTTACGAACAGAGTCTTACAGGATGCCCTGGTATTCATATTATTCTGTGGATGTCTTTGTGTTTTTGTTGGCCTTTTTATTGAAATTGACAGCATCTGTAGTAGGTTTTGTACAATTTATTTGCCTTCCAATATGCAGAAAGAGAAAATCAAAGCAAGAGTAATTATTTTGTTACAGTTAAATGGAAACAGTAATTTAAAAAAATAAGTAATCATTTTTGGATTAATATAGATTGTTAAAATACTCTAAGTATGCGCAGGACAGGGAGTAACCGAAAATAGATTTAACAATGCCATTTTATTTATTGTTTAATGAAGGGGAAAAGAATGTGCAACTGTTTATGCCCCCCAAATTTTTGCAACATTACATTTCCTGGAAACAGATTGATCAGAAGTTGACAATCTCAAGGAAGTCACCACAAGGTCAGACTTGGAAATATATTTAAAAAACTAGAAACACTCAAAAGCTCCACCTTTAAGGCTTCAAATAGTTTTCTGAGTGTTAAATAAAACACCGGAACACAAACACTGGATGGTTTATTAATCGGCTGAGGGAAAATGTATCCTTGAAACAGATTATTTGAAGAAAATTGGGAAATAACAAGTTAAATCCAGCCCTGTCTGATGAAATGGGTGAAAATGCCTCCAGAAGGGTACTAATTAAGTCTGGAAAAATGGCTGTCTTAAGAATGTATTATTTTTATTTTTATTTTCATCTTTCTTTGATAATGACATTGTGGAATTTTCTATTTTTTTCAGTTAACAGTTTGGTTATTTAACTATATTCTGATTTGCAAACACCTAAAAGTGATTGAGTTTGTGTTTGCAGCATTCAAAATTCCAGAGCCAGAATTGTAGTTTTCTATGAGGGTTTAACTGCATATGCTTTTAAAAGGGGTGATCAAAGATTTAACTTAAATCCAATGTCCCCAGCTGTAACAAATAGAAGAGCAGACGTTTATGACTGAGTGAGAAAGAGCAAAACATGGATAAAACTTACTAGACTAGAGAATGATGTCAACAATCCCATTAAAAAATAATTACAGCAAGTAAAGCCAAAAACAACAAAAAACAGTTACCGGTATAAGAAAGAGAAATGGATCAGAAAACATCTGGCAAAAGTTTGACCAACCCAGTAAGTATGGCAAACCCCTAACAGCAAAAATAACTGTGCAAATGTGCAAAGACCCAAACAGAAAAACTAATAAGATGCTTCAGGAAAAAAAAAAAAAACATTCTTAAAGACATAGTGGAGGATGTTCTTTTTCTCCACTATGTCAAAATAAGTGGTCGATCTAATTGTCAATCATTCTGGTGATATGTTTACATAAGGCCATCTGATGTACTTGTCCGTGCTTGTGAGTTTGACATACCGGTAGTGGGAAAAATTGCAAATTTGGAAAGTAAGCTTGTATGAGCGATGCAAACGGCAACATTAAAACAGAGTGTGCAAGGAGGAATGGACTGGTGCAAGCTCTCGCACGTGTTAAATAGGTGTTACCTCTTGAGAGAGGATACAAGGTTGTGCATGTGCATTTTTTATTAAAGTGGAGAGGGAACTCTTTTCAAAAATTCATGAAAATCCTCCCCTATACCTTTAAGCTCCATATAAAAACCTAAAAAAAAAATTACTTTGAAAAGTAATAAGAAACAGTTAAAGTGCACAGAAAAATAAACATAAAGGTAGATCAATAGACTCAACAGAACCCCAAATGTACAACTTGATTGTATGTGATTTCAATCCTATCTAAAAATCAGCCAAACCATCTGTTGAAGAAGCCAATAAAACTGCAAAATATTAAGTGATTTAAAAAAAAGGATTAGGCGGCCTTTCCTTGGAGGTTTTTTTTTTTTTTGCATGATAATGATTCTCACTGTGGTCCTCTGGTGTCCCAAGCCTATAGACATTTTAGACTGCATAATTAACTCATGCTCTTCAAGTTTTATATCCAAGTGTGTTGTGTTATGCCTGCTTACATCATCTTGTCAGAAAGGCTCCTATATGAGTGATTTTTTAACCCTGCCAGTGAGTAACTAGTAAACTTGAGCTCTGCTTTTAAAAAAAAAAAAAAGGTTAAATCAGTCTTTTTTAATGTACAGGATGATTAGCTTGTTACCTTATTTTTTCCCCAAATAAAATATTCATCATTTGGAACTGCTTTTTGTACCTAATCATGTGTTACAGTAGGTTTAATGATAGTATGCCCTGTATTTTTAAAGTTAGAAGATAAATCTGAAAAACTCACACAAAGAGAAAATACAATCAGAAGAAATGTATTGAAACAATTACTCGTTGGCGCTCAGACCTCGGCAGGAAACATAGAGCTTAATTATTTGTATTGATATTTATGAACAGGAGTAAAGAATAGGGCTGTTTCCCCCTAGATCTATTTTTGCCAGGATGAATGTAATTATCTTTGTTACGTAAGTTGCTAGGTTAGTGCAAGAGAATTGGAATATACAGGGCAACCTGAATAGAAATGATAAAATATTTTGTTAATAAATGATGAAGATGATTCTTAATTGCCAGGCTTGAAAAAACAAACAACCTGAGCTAGGGTTTGTGATATGATTGGCGTGCCACATAATGACACATGAGAAATTAACACCCACCTGGTGGAGACATAGTCCATTCTTAGAAGCAGAATCAGGGAAATGTTTTCCTTGGCTCCTTATAATTTCTTGACATGGGCCAAAGTGCTGTAACCATATGATTTCTCTGCTAAACTTAGATTAAATAATGTTAAATTCTGAGTCTTATTTATTGTTATTTAAAGAGCAATCAATCCTGGCTGAAACATCTGCAAACAAGCACCTCTAGGGGGCAGCAGCCTACATTACAAAGACAAACAAACAAAGCATGCAAAGAATTTAACTTAGTTATCCCACCACAACAGTCAGGAGGAAGGCTGGTGAGGAAAAAGGAACAACCCTCCCGCCTCGCCCAAAAACAAAAACTGTTTGTTGGAGAGCTGGTAACAAATAGAAAACTCCATAAAAATTATTGTCTTCAAAGAATTAGTAAACAATTTTAAAGGTGCTACAGTATATATCATATTTCCCTCATTGACTGAAGCTGAGTTTTTCATGAATAGTCGGTCAGTCCAAACATTGCAGCCATTATTTGTTCATAGAGATATGGACATACAACTTGAAATCAAGTCTGACTCGACTCGGAATTTTAACACTTTTAGCTTTATGTTCATACATTTTACAAAAGACTGGATTACTTGAGGGGAAAAGATGTTAAAACATCATCTGAGAAGTTGCACGCTTCTGGGCTATTTGTCAATATTTTCTCCTTTTGTTGCTGCATCATCCTAGAAAAAGCTGCAGATAGTGGAAATGTCAGGTGGGTGAGCTCTGCAGATTGTCAGCCACACTAAGCCTGGGCAACCATAGAACACAAGAATCAATGCAATGAGGGAAAAGCCTTTATATTAAGATATTGAACTGAAGTATGGTCATCAGAACAGAGCAAGTGACAGAGATATATGTGCTACTAGCATTTGTATGTGCTAAGATTCAAAAACTTTCAAAATATGTGAGACTTGCATGGAAAAGCATTGAAAATCAATTTTCTTCTCTTAATAATTACAAGAAATTTTTGTCTGAGGTATAATGAGGTTACAATTGCCACCCTTCCGGGGCTTTAATTTAAAGGGCCACCTTACTTAGTTTTTTGGAGATTGCAGAACAGGAGGAGCTTGATTTTGTTTGAGCAACAACAACTGTTTCATATTTACCAAAGCATAAACATCGGAAAAATTTAAAAAAAGTACACCGCTGATCACCGAGTCATCTTTTAGCACCTTTTAGCAACCAAAAACCAAAGCTTTGATGGGCAGAGCAGCTTAGGGAGCTGTACATTTGGTGTGAAAACGGAAGCTGTGGTTGGTTGAACCTTATCTGCATCAAAATATTGATTTTATTCAGCAAAGTGCTCTCATATTATCAGCTTAATATCTTAACACAAACAGGAATTTACTCAAATAATTCAAAAAGTGACACAATTCACATATTTTGCATTATCAAAACACGAAGTGAAGTTTTTTCAACATCATAATCAGATATTAAATCATTGTTTTATTCTACTTACAAAGATTGGAAGCAGGATATCCTTGCACTGTTGTTTACTGAGGCTGAGGAAGAATTAGCAATTTTCATTTTGCAAAACTAATGTGTCATGTTTAAAGAGGGTAATGTTGAATTCTTTTCAGCTCTGCTTTTGTTATACACCAAAAAAAAAAAAAAAAAATTTAATGAAATATGTTTGGTATGTTATTGAGTTTTCTATTTTAAGTATCAAAAATTCTTAAAAAAAAAAAAAAACAGAAAATACTTTGCAGATAATTTTTTTTTTTTTTGCTTGAAATAAAAACAATAAAAAGGTGTTTTCAGGTAAAATGTCAGACTGCAATCAGTGGTGGGAAGATCCCTAAGAGCTTCTCTGAACTCACTCTAGACATTTCCATACTTTCTTTAATCAATATGAGAATAGAAATAATTGAATAAATAAACACAAGGACAAATGGCTCAGTTTTGTTCTTTTCATGTAAGAAAACTTTTTAAGAAATAAAATGAAATCCAAATTGTATAAGAAAAATAATAATTGTGAGTGGCAGGTTTTATTTTTAAACCTGACAACTTATATATTATAATAAAAACTTTAATATACTGTATATTTCCATTTATTTCCATGTATTTTCCATTTAAATTGTGTTTCATATAAGAATCAGAGAAAAAAGTTTTATCACAAAAAATACTTTAACACATATGATGTGTTTGCTTTGCTGTAGGTGCTACACAGATAAACAAACAGTTGAGATATATACATAGATAGTTGTATAAGAATAATGCTAGAGTAAAGAAAAATAATACATTAGTTGCAGAGAAATAATAACATGGTGAATATTTACATGTACATTATTTAGAGTTTGCATTTGGCAGACGGAAGAGAATATGCTGTATATAAATATTTGGCAAAAAAAAAGTATTTTCTAGTCATTTTCTCAAAAAAATGTCTTCTTTTTAAAGCTTTAATGGACAAGTTGGTCCTAGCTAAAGCAGAATCGTTTGGAATCCGGGCCAGTCAACTACTAACTTTTCCAAAGCACCAGACAAACCAGTACAGGGATGAAGCTCACTGGGATGATGGTGAGAGCCACCACCAGGCTAGTGGGGGCGTCCTCAATCAGAACTTTTCTTTCTGTCTCTGTGCAGTCCTGGAAATAGGTGGAGTGGATGTAGATGAAGAAGTCTTGGATGTCAGTATTAGGAAAAAAGCAGCCAGCAAAATCGGCCACTGTCTCCAAACATTGCGTCAGATCATTGTAAGGCCTGCACCAGATAAGAAAGAAATTAATGTATGAGAGATACTTTATAAACAATAGGGTTAAACAATAGAAATTCTTTTTGGGTGTCAATGGTGTTTGAGGGAAACAGAATTGCTGCTTTCTAGATTTAGTTGCGAAAATATTAAAAAGAAGAGCACAAAATGTCATTTATGAAAATATACACAATACAATTTTTAAAATTAATGCTTTTCTCTCTTTTTCAGACTAAAGCAGTTTAACTTCCTGACCAGATTCTTATTTTTTGAAAATATAACTGAAACTTCACATCTGAATTCTTAAGCTCTGACTTATTGTGGAACAGCAAACATAACTAAAACTGCTGTGGTTAAACTACTTCCTGATGGTGCATAAACAGAGCAGAGGATTGAAACAGAGTTGGCGTGGTGTGTGTGTGTAGGGGTGTGTGTGTGTAGCTCGGTGGGATACAATAATGGGTAGGTGTGTATGTTTTTTTAATTTGTTTTTAGAGGAGGGTTCATTGGTTTGGCAAGAAGAAATGGAAATGCCTTAGCCCCAGTTCTGATAAGGGATATTCCACATTAAGAAATCAGACATCAAAGCATTTTATTGTTACAGTAGACTAACAGCGTTTATGTACAGACATCGTTTGACTTACAGTCTGCAGTCTAAAATACTCAGTTTTTTTAAACCATTCTCTATATCTGTAAACATGATATGAATAAAATGAATATTTGCAGTTGACCATGTCCTCTCTCTCTTCAAACAAATCTTTGAACCAAACACTCTTGAGAAACAAAAATCAAATTCCTTATCTTATGACGAGCTTAGACAAAACTAATATAAAATCATGCCAATAGATAATATATGTAAGGCACACTTGCTTTTATGCAATTTATAAGCTATTCTCAATTTTTAAGACATTTTTAAAGACAAAAGTTGGGACTTTTCTTCAATAGCTTCCAGGTCATGAGACCTACTGAATCAAATTCTTTGTGAAATTGTTTTACTACTTTAGCCAGATGGGAAACATAAATTTTTATTCCATTTTAAGCCTTCGTATATTTTTAAACTTTTTTTATTACAAAAATAATTGATATTTCTTCAATAGCTTCCCAGTCATGTGACCCACTGACTCCAAATCTATGTCAAATTGTTCTACTACTTTAGCCAGATGGGGCACACTCATTTTTATTCCATTTCAAGCCTTTGTATATTTTTGTTTACCCGCTGGGGCAGGCGGGGGGAGGCATGCGGTCACCGGGTCGGGTTCGCTCACTTTAGCTAACCTTGAACAGCAAGCTTCAAATGTTCCACAGCAAATTAATATCTCCTTTCAGATCTAGAATCTGGGATTTACATTTACATCAGACAGAAGTGTTCTGAAAAGGAATGAATGGTTGATGATGTATCCATCAATATTAGGTTCCTGATCCACTGCTGGGAGTTCCACTCCCACAGACTGCCACTCTGGGTATCTGAGCAAGACGCTTAACGCCACACTGTTTCCTGGGCGCCGCACTATGGCAGCCCGTTGCTCCCAAAGGGGATGGGTTAAATTTTGTTGCTCTGTAATTGTGACAGAGTAATGACTATAAAAATCTGTGAAGAAAAAGTAATAAAATGGTAATAACATAGCAATTTACACTATTTTACAAGGTAACAAGAAAAAACTTAATGGAGAACTTTGGTAAGTGCTGTGCTTCAAATTTTAGATGGAAAAGGTTAAGTCAGACTCCTTATATTTTAAACAGTCTTTACCAGTTACCTCATTCATTTCATGACAGCAATAAATTAATGTGTTATTATTAAGTAAAAACTGTTTATTACTTGGCATATAACAAAACACCAAACCTAGAAGTCAGCAAGCCAAGTTTCTGAACTAAACTCTTATTTATATGTCACTTGTGTTCATTTTTATGCCATTGATTGGTGGCCGATAAAAAACTGTCGTGTGTTGACTTAATGGTAATTACCCACCAAAAGTCTCTTTATTACATAGTAAAATACAGTTGTAATAATTACATGCAGGTAATTACTTTGAAAGGGTATGACTTAATTTTGGGGCAATTACCGAATAAAGATTTTTTTCTTGTTACCAAGTAATATAATGTGACTTGCTATGTCATTACCATGTTAATACATGGTTATTGATGTACTGTAAAAGAAAGCGTTACCATTTTACATGATCTCACAATGACAAGGCAGAGTCATCAGATGAAAAAAAAAATTAAAGCAACTGGTCTTGAGCACAAAATAGAAGAAAATGTGTCTCTCGATAGTGCATATTTGTTAAGAAGAAGCAAAGGAGTTAAGCTATGGATTGAGTAACCAGAAATTTTACCTAAGTAAGTAGTGATATTTTATCATATGAAGTAACAGTAAAAAGTACAATGCTGTAAAATATTCATAAAATAATTTTTGTATCGACCCATTTTTAAACCACTGTGATCAGTAAAAAGCAACAAGGGATTGCAGATTGAGTGTGACATAGTTCAAAGCAAAACATACAACAGCTGCAGCAACTCAAGTCTGCTGGTGCACATAAAACAGAGGAATCTTACACTCCTTTGCTGCACCTCTAAACAGTAAAATAAGTTGATCAAATGCATCTGATGCAGAGAATAAATATTTTATGAGGTGAATATTGGGATTGGTGGGGATTTTTCCTTTGCTTCAAAATCCTGGCAGGACGATCTAAATGCTCACATGATCTCTGTGAATGGCCTTATTTAATGCGATGTTTGGTTTATGTCTATATTGTGTAGTACTTTGAGGACAGGGTAAATTAGAATTTTTGGGGGATTTTTTTTGTGTGTGTGTGCAATTAAGTCCTAAAATACGGTTGCCAGGGGGTGAAAATAACAACTTATCTTTTGATGGAATGATAAAGGCACAAACATCCTACCCATTATATGTTCCAATCAAAAAACAATGTTACTTCCATTAAAAAAACATTGCTTTAAACAAAAAAAACCCCGACTTCCATCAATGAAAACATTTTCAATCAAAGAAAAGCATTGTTCAAATTTATTTTGCAGAGTCTCAACTGTGTTTTTGCACTCAAATATTTTTTTCTTTTTTTTAATTGAAGTGAAGGTTTTTTAATTGAAAATATTTTTTTTTGATTGAAGCAACCTTTTTTTAAGTTACACAAATCTACCTTCATACAAATGGCGTGCAAATATTTTATCTCACAACAAATTTAAAAGATCCTGCAGAATTAAGTAAAACTAGCAAGGACAAATATTACACTGGAATACTGTATGCAAAATTGAGACTAACATGTATCCACACAAAAAATTTGCAAAGTAAACATGCTGCAAGTAGCAAAAACAGCAGCAAGTTAAAAAAAGTTATTGTATTAACTAGCACCGGATAACAAAAGAGCTCCAGGCCACGAGGGGATGACCATCATCCACTTATACCAGTCAGGATTGTGTACATAACTATTTATCTGCTGTATCAGCATACATAACAGGAAATTGTGTTGGGAAATTGTCCAAACTGGCTTTGGTCCCTGGGGGCCACATTCTACTAAATCCAGCCCCGTCTCATTTCCTCCCTACAAAGAGCGCATGGCTGCAGCCTACAGACCTCCATTGTCATAGTGCTGATATCATGACAGAACTTTAGCCACGCCCACGTGTTCTAATCCCTCAAAAACCTCATGTCACATATCATCACTTTATATATATATTTTTTTTTGGTGTGATCAAATGTGCTTTTTCTCAACATTTTGCATATTGGGTAGGTACAATGAAAGAACAATGGAAAGAGTGATATTTCAGGAAAGTTTTTGATGATTTAGGTGTGAGTCTTGTGTTGAGTAAGGTTATGGTTAGTATATAGAAGACTAGACTAGAATCTGCAGCCATACTTGTCTCTTTTCTAGTTGGGCAGTCCTTTTAAATCACATAATTACTTTTCCTTGTCTAGTCTAAGCAAACCTGGTCACCCTTAGTTTGCTTTTCAGACATTATTTAAGACATTTATTTTCAAATTAATCAATATTTTTAGTGTTTTGTCTCATATACCATTCTACATGTTTCTACAGCAGTCTAAGTTTCTCTCGTTAGTGTCATCCTCTCTTTAATTTGTAACATTTATTTTCTTGCTTGCAATGCAAACCCTATTACTCAATATTCCAGACCAGGCCAGGTCTGGAATATTGCTGCATCTCAGTCAGGTGGACTGATATTGCTGCATCAGTCCACATTGTTTCTTGTGGCAAAAATTCTTCAATATAGGTGAGTAAGTGAAATATGTTTGGAGCCTTGTGAACATCAAGGCTCCAAAGGTCTGTAAACATACATGTTGAAAGAATACCTGATAATGCTTTTCAGGACACACCAGTCTTCTCTGCTGATGTTTTGCATCTCTGCATGAAAAACTGCACCACAGTAGTTGTAACTATACTCCCTCAGGGTGTCCTGGTTGCAGTGTTCTGGTAAGATTACATTCTGGTCCTGGAAGTTTTCTGAGGATATAGAAAATTAAAAATAACATAGATACAAAGGCAGATTAAAATCTCAAACTGCTCCACTCAACAGATTCTGAGGGTTCTTTAATGAAAGTTCAACTTTGATTCTTATTCTTTATTCATTATGTGTTTTATTGTTTATTTTATTTTTTTACATGAGACTGGAGTGCCTATATCTTTTACTCACCATTATCCTCATAGATAATTGATGTGTTGTTTTTTTCCAGCTCGCTCTCAATCTCATTCAGCTTTTCTTTGTCCAAACTTTTTGCCTCATAGTTTGGTTTTGTTGTATCTGCAAGAAAGAAACGAAAATTCTTCACTGAGAGAACCATTTTCCTCATACTTATAAAATTTAAATTTAGGGAGCAGTCAATGTTTTCTGTGTTAATTATATTCTCGACTTTCTCTCTAATCTTTTGAAGCTCATAGTTATCATTTACCTTTTTTTTTCACTATTACAAGATGATTTTTCTTTACCTTTCTGAAAAATATTACATGTTTAAGCTTTGATTAATAAACCTTTAGAAAAGTAACGTTTTATTTATAACTTAAAACCCTAAACTAGAGAGGGTTTTTGTAGCAGTATTTTAAATCAAGGTATTATGTATAACTTGAACTCTTTGTTATACAAACATTGAAATTGAAAATCTTTTTTGCAATCCTCCATTTTTTTTTTGCTGTGAAATAATATTTAAGCTGTTTTCTTTAATGCATCAAAGCTGTAGCAAGTAGCTGATGGCAAATCTAAAAATTGAGTTATTATATAAACCTAATATCTATTAAAACGACTTAGTTGGCAACAACAATGAACAATCCATAAGGCAATATTAGTTTTTAGACTAATTCTAAAAAATCTATATGATTAAAATCTACAAATCAAAATTAGTTACAAATGCCATAATTAACAAATATTTTCCATAGGTAATTAGCAACGTTATTTCTTATTACTAAGGTGAGAACTTTAAGCTTATATTGTTTCCAAGACAGAAAGTTGAAAGACTAATAAAGAAAATATCAGAAAAAAAATGAGATTTGAAATTAATAAAACAATCTACTAACATAAATAATTGCATTTCTAATTAATTTTTTATTCAATTTAAAGAGTAAGTATTTGTAAACTAAAATAACCTTACTGTTCCTATGTGTAGAAACACCAAATGTTTGGTTCTTGTAGAGATCTTCTGTGATGTTGGCTGGTTGAGACGTGACGCCACCTGTAAATAAACAACTGCAATAAGCAAATAGACCAATAGAAATACATTTACCCTTATTCTGCTCCTGCACGCCGTGAGAAAACAGATTCCTGTAATAAGTATCTAATAAAAATGGGGTCATACAATCCCAACCTGGGTTTTAGATCATGCTTACAGAGGATGACAGCAAGTAATACCAGGTAGGAGATCATGGCGGGTCGACGATAGTCAAAGTAGCAGGAATCTATGGTGGTTGGTCTGAGACTCAAGGACGCTCTAAGGATAAATGCCTCAGTCCTTTGGTGTGTTTCCTAAACAGCCCAGCCCCCTTTATCCTCACTCTTATCCCTGCTGATGTGCAGAGGTATGCTGAAGTCTTGTTTTTGGAAAAATAACCAATAAACTGACGACATCAAAAGATCAAGAGACTAATAGCTTCTTTTAAGCACTTGGAATAAAGGAGAGCAAACAGAGACCACAGTAATAAGACTGTTTAACCTAAGAATTTAATATTCTTTAATGACTTACTGCCTTTCTTTCTGGATAACTTTGTTCCTTAAGTAACTTAAAAGTTATTTTGAAAATACCAACCAAATCAGGGAATTTTATATATTTTTTTCTCAAGTCAAAGGTTAAATAACTTTTTAAGCCTAATGTAAAGGATAAATATATTGAAGAAATTTGGAGACATACTTTATTATCATAGAAATATATTATGCCATCATTATCTGAAAATCTGTTCTTATTACCCAAACAGATTTAGCATATTTAAAGAAAAAATTAACTTTTTTTTATTGTGAGTTATTGTTGTATTTATAGTTATTTATGTGAAATTCTGTAGCAGCTACCTGAAAACTGCACTGTTGTTTTTTTTTTTTATTTCTCTATGAGATAAAATCTCTTTCATGTTCCTGAATTATGATTTAAAGATAAGGACTACGAACACCAATAATGGACCGTAGAGGAAAGCTGTTAGGATTTCTTTATCCCAACAAGAATAATTACTGTAAACAAAACTTTTTTTTAACTAAAAATTCCCTTTTTGTGCAACATTGCAAATATTCTTTCTAGATGGTTTGATTAAGTTTGGGCAATTAAAACTTTGCCTGTTTCTCAATCACTTGCAACATATTGAACAACCACTGCTGTCCATCATTGACTAAAGACAATTTTTCATTGGATTTGCAAATAAATTTAGTCTTCTTAAAATTAAAATTTAATACTTAGAAATATAAAGCAGTTTCATGCAAGCTGCTGCAGACCATTTATGAGATGTTTTGTTGGCCTATAGTGAGACTGAAAGGGTTTGTTTTGACTCTAGTAGATCAAAAAGCACTGACATAAACAAATCAAGCTGCTGACTATCTTGATGGTTCTGGTTCTCATTGTTAACGAGGCGGCAGTTTCCTGTTATTTAAAGATGGTTCCTGAAATCATCCAAAGAAATGTTCTACTTACATACATGTTAGTGAAATAAGGGCAAAGCTAAAAAACATAACTGGCTTTTCTTGAAAAAAAGACATAAAACAGCCTCTGTGCGAAAAGCTGTAAAACAACAAAGCAGGTTCTTAACACCTAATTTATGCATCATAAAAATATTTACATCTTTTACATCATTTACATCTTATAACAGCATGACTTTCCCTCAGAGTGACATTCTTCAGTACCAGAAGTATAAAAACAACAACTTCCTGTGTTTTGTGGCTTGTTAATGCACAGCATGTCAAAGCTTATTGTAAAGGCTTCTTTTTTCATTTCAGCCTCTGAAACAGGAAACTGCTCTGTGCCATTCAATGGTTTGCTTCTTGTTGAGAGATGGTTACAGACACAAAGAGTGTTGACGTGACTATCCAGGTTAAAATCTGTTGTTTTACCGCTTCGGTTTGTTCTAAAAGCTGCTGATTGTGCACAAAACACAGTGAAAGTGGGAGAATTCTATATCTATTCTATACATCGAAGTGTATTGATGACCTTTGACCTCCTAATTCCTGCACAAAACCGCTTCCAGCTAATGTTTTTGTTTTTTTCTTTTGTTTACTCTTGCCTCAATAAAATGTGTAAGGATTTAGAAGCGATATATACAAAAATCACCCATGAACAACTTATGGATGAAGCTGCAAAATAATAATAATAAAATATTTATTAGTTTAATTTTAATTGTTTATTAAATGCATCTGTAAACTTTATTTTGTTCTGAGTTTATTAAAAAAGTCAGGAAAAGGTTTAGGTTATGATCGTTCGGTATATGGTTTCTTTAAATTCTTTTATTTTGGATTTTTTTTTATTTAAATATTTTTGCGGACAATAATTAATTAATCTAATTATTTCACAAAAACAGTTTGCATAAGTCCTTGGAGAGAAAAGAGCTGATAATTAAATTAGATGGACAAAGTATTTCCCTTTTATAAATTCCATTCTGACTTGATGAACTTCTAGTTCTGGTTAAGAGTGCATTATGGGTCAATCCCATTAAATCCAAAGAGCCTGGGTGGCCTTTTTGTGCATAACTCTTCCTTTTATTTAAATCCTCCTATTTTTTTTTAAGACTGTAATACTGATTGATTGGCTGTTGGTAAATATTATAAGCTGCAAACAAAATGTTTTGCTTTCAGCCTCTTTCTCATACATGATACTGATATAAGACATTTTAATCAATTGGTTTTATCAGACTGCTTTGAATTTCAAAATCAGCTGATCTTAAAGTGCAGCGGATGTGCCTGTCCTTTTTGCGCTATTTAGCTATAGGCTCTAAGAGAGCATACAAGATCAGGACATCATAGAAAATGCTGAAACATTGTTGGAAATTCCACACAATTATTGTCACTATCAGCGAAAAACCGAAAGCAGACATTTAAACGAGTTTAGCTCTGATTTGGTAAGATTATCTGTTTACATATTTCTTTTTTTTAATGCAGAAAAATTACCTTTTTTGTTAAAACTTAGGAAAAATAAGTAAAAAAAAATGAACACACACCAACTACTGTGTATAATTTTCACTTATTTATAAGGTCAGTGCATGTCTGCAGTACAAGTGCAATAAGCCAAGTCCACTACTGTGTGTAGTCTGTAAACAAGTGAAACAGACTCCAGGACATTACAAATGTTTATTTTTTTAATGCTTTTTATATTGTTTGTCGTATTTCTATCTTTAATTGCATCTTGCTTTAACTATTTGTTCTCTATATAATATACTGGAATCAGAATTTCCCTGAAGGAGTAATGCCAAGGGCTAAATAAAGTTAGGTCTAAGTCTAAACATTTTTTAAAATTATGGGCCCTTTCTTTATTCATAAATTCATACAGTACATATATAGCTCTTTTCCTAAACAACTGACTCTTTCCCCTTAACTGTCTCACATTTAGTTTTTCTCTCCATCAACAGTTGTTAGAGTTACAGCTTTAGAGAAAACCAGAAATCAGGAGAGACACATTTAATGGGTTCATACTCCAGTCTACCCTGCAACAACAGTAGAAGGGTTTTATAATCAGTCACAGATTCATGCAAGTTTATTTAATGTGTTAAAGAATTTTCTTGTGAACAGATTCAAACTCAGAAAGAAAAAAAAACCCAATATAGCAGCTCTAACATTGAGGTAAAATATTTCATTTTATTAGTCTTTGAGGTGAAAGAGGTTTCCTAAAGGTTATCTCCTCTTGCACCATATCTGTTATTTTTGTCATATATTTTTCAAAGCAGTTAAAGAAAAGAGGGTCATTGCAGAGCTTTGGAATTTCTAAAACTTAAATTTCACCTGCCTTAGAACAAAACATTTCTATAATCTCATCAGACATTTAAATCATTTCAGAAAGTGTTTCTTTCACGAATACAGTATTCATATTTCTTCATAAACTGACCACTTTAAAAGAAGAAAAAGTCCCGTACTGTATCAGATAGACGACACGATAGACAGACTGACTCATGACACCCATTTGAAGGAAGAGAAACGACTGTCTGCACTCTGCCAAAACATCAAATAAACCACCCCTCGTCTCCAGATATAGAGACACACTGACACATAAACGTATCGTGACTAAGTTATTATCATTTGAAATCAATGTCAAAAAGAAAACATGTACTGCATGTTGGGTTTGGGGCTTTTAATACTGGGTAAAAATTCAGTTTCGGGGTAAAAACGAAAAAAAGAAAAAACATTGTATAAAACTACGATAAAAAACTGCACATTTATTTTCTTCATTTTTGATTTTTAAAGCCCAATGATGCTTTGATGCTTCAATAACAGCCTCTTTACACTGCCTCTTTACTCTAAACATAGGAAGTCAGAATGAAGTACAGCTAAATGTTGGTAAATTAGCCCTCTAGTGATGAAATTAAGCTACTACAAAACAGACACTCCATCCATTCAAGGGGGGTCGCAAGAGGTGCTGGTGCCTATCTCCCAAAGCAGAAATAAATTCACCCACTGATATGAAAGTAGTATGTTTTTTCCCTTTTTTTCTGACCAGAGGCCTGCCACCTTTATAGTTTCACACTTTCTGCCTTTCCTGTTTCACTATTGCACAGAACGAAGCTCGTAAACAGAACCTTTTGACTGAAGTGAGCAAAATGAGAACAAACCTCCCTGTTTCAGCAGGAACAGCTTTTTTCACTACTAGAGATGATATCCTTAAAAAGAGGAAAAAACACAAAAAATAGATTATTTAATTGCACATTATGTTTCCCAAGTTTTGCTGAGTTAAACATCTTCAAAGTTCTGTCTAACAGAAGGCTAAAAGAGGAAATATATTATTTCTTCTATATCCATCCACAAGAAAAAAAGGAAATTCAGTAATAGAAGATGATCAGTCTTTTTGGACCATGTTAAAACAAAAAAACATAAAGGATTATATTTAAATCAGGTTGCAGGTGCTGAGTTTGGTTAGTCAAACAACAGAGGTGTGAAAGCCATTTCAAGGCTGCCTTTGCAGGTGTTAAAGCAGTAAACAGTGTTTTCTAAACTTATAAATAAACAACATTAGTCCACTATTATTTTACGTGCTTGCACATCTTTGTTTAAAGGAAACCCTACTCTTTACAAACGTTTTATCACAAGGCATGCTTTAGGTTGGTGTGAAGTGTTTTGCAATGTCTTATTCAGATGGCATGCACTTGACTGCTTTTTGCTGAATTTCCTTCCTCTTTTAAGCCTTAATAAAAAACAGCAAAGATTGATGTTTTACTTTATTCATGCACAACCAGCGACGACGATGAAATGTGAAAATTACATTAACACAGAAAAGGAAAGAGTAACCAATAACAGTACTGCTTCATCATATTTGACCTTGAGTAACAGTAAAAATTAGCCCCCCACGAAATCACACAAATAATAATGAGAAAGTATTTTGTAAGAAGGCTGCTAAGTACTGAGTAACTTATCATAACCTTTAATATTATTGTAATAAGAACCCAAATGTAAAACTATGAGCAAATCCTGGTATTTTAAAAGTC